CGTATTACATATCTTGAATTTGCTAAGAAAGTAAATCTTAAGCATTCTTACCATACACACACACACAAAAGATAATTATGTATATATATACACACACATATCAAATCATCATATTGTAGATTTTAAATACAGTGGTACCTCGGTTTTCGAATGTGATCCGTTCCGGAAGATCATTCGAGTTCTGAAAGGTTTGAAAACCGAGGGATCCACAGCCGACAGCGAGGCCTCAGGACCTGCCCTCAGCGGAAGCCGTGTGGTATGTTCGACTTCCGGGGCATGTTCAAACTGAAGCATTTACTTCCGGGTTTACGGCGGTTGGAAACCGAAATGTTCGTCAAGGGAGACGTTCGAAACCCAAGGTACCAATGTATATACAATTGTATTTATCAATTATACTTCAATACATAAATGTATGTTAAGTGGTTTTTATTTAATTTGCATAAGATTATCAAATATATGGCTACAGCTTATGCTCCATAGATAATTTATAAAAAAATAAATAAAATGTTTAGTTCAACCAGATTATACTTTTCATGTCATATAAGTTCCTATATTTCAGTCTACTTGAATGTCATAGTCTAATAGCAGTATGTGAAATTTCCTACATGAAGTAATTGTGGGTTTTGCTTTATATATTCGTAGGTCATGTTATTCAGTTCATACAGACTCATGATTTCTAAATAACCATTTTGATCATAGTATTTTTTATATAATGACAATTCTCTCCTATGAATTGTTTTAAAGTTAATATAATCAACACCTACTCTTTTTGTTAGACTAATCTAATTTTGCATTTCATCATCAACTATTCTGGCTTATTTTTTAGATGTGCATTTGTAACCTTTATAGAGCAATGATTAGGATGATTTTGCATTTTCAATTCATTATGATTCAGTTACCTAATTAATTTATATGATAGTTTTATCGGTTCTTGCTTCTATTGTCTTTAATGCTCTCCGTGTTACTACCTTTCTACTACTGTCATTATTACTTTTTTGGTATATTGACTACTTTGGTTTGATTTTATTGCTTTTAATAATATAAAGTGTAGGTATTCTACTTGTATTATATCACTGTTTCAAATTTCCATCTAAATGTGCTCTTATATTAGTAATGCAGATAAACAATGAGAGATAAAGTTGAGAATGTAAGTTTGGGATGTATCATGAGAACCCAGTTGAAAAGTTTACACTTAACTTGTAAAGATATAAAGACTTTTTGAGGAGGCAATGTGGTTAGAGATAGACTTTAGAAAAATTAATTAGACACCATTATGTAGGATGAATAAAGTGAAATGAAAGCACAAGTTTCAGACATGTTACAAGAAAACGATTTTGTAATTAAAGAGAACTGAGGAGAAGAAATGGGGATTATAGACTTACTAGAGACTGATGTCAAATTGGACATGATGTGCAAATAAAAGAACAGAATATATAGGATGTGGTATGTTACTAGTTGACTAGAAAAAATATGGTGGCATTTATAATAAAAATTATTTTGATGACTGGCTTTGCTAGCAGATGATCTGTTTTGGATTTGATTGAGACTCAGTAAGTGGAAACCAGTACCTAAGAACCCGTCATGCAAAGACAGAGTTTGGGAGGAGTAGAAATGGGGCAGAAGGTCGGTGAGGCAGCCACTGTATTGATAGTTGAAGCCACGGGAGCTCATGAAGCTTTGAAGAAAAGGGTTAGAGAATATCTGAAGACAGGATCTGGGTATACAAGTTGTTACATTATTATCTCTCAGCATTTTTTTATTCAGCTTGTTGGCTGCTAGTGCTGGGGCTCTGCAGACTCTACATTGGTTGGTTGGGAGTGTGCTGTTGAAGTTCCACGTATTTGTGAATTTTCTGGTTTCCCACTATAATTAATTTCTAGTTTCATAAAATTGTGGTTGGAAGACACGTTTCATAATTTCAATCCTCTTAAATTTGTTAAGACCTGTTTTGTGACCTAATATATGTCTAGCCTGGAGAATATCCCGAGTGCGCTTAAGAAAAATGTGTCTTCTGTTGTTATTGGATGGAATGTTCTATATACATCTGTTTGGGTCTAAAATGTAGTTCAAGCCCAGTGTTTCCTTACTGATTTTCTGTCTAGATGATTTATCCATTGTTGAAACTGAGATACTGAAATCCCCTACTGTTTTGTATTGTTGTCTATTTCTCCCTTCATATCTGTTAGAATTTTGCTTAATATGCTTAGGTGCTATACTGAAATTTTAATCTTAAGCAACTGCATTTGCAAATTATAGGCAGTTGGTAAAAACTACATGACATTTTTCAAAAAATCTGTCATTTCAAGATATCTGACATGAATTGTCTACAGAAAAAGACTGAATTTAACTCCAGAAACACATTATATGTTATCTAAATTGTGTACATTTTTCTTAAACTATTTTACTAGCTATTTATATTTCTAATTCTATGGTGTGTTTTCTCAGTACTCAATTAATTCCATTGTGGCCTTTATAAAGTCTTTTATTAAACAATTCTTTCAGATGATCCATAACTGTGATCAATTCTTTAGCCCAGAGGGGACACCCCAGAACAGTAACATGACATACATAATGATGCTTAATGAGACTTGTTTCTTTACGGCGATGCTTTACATTACACACATATTTACAAATTTTTATCTCATCCAATTTCTAAACAGGGATGAGAATAGGTTTTCTATGAAGAATCACATTGTCTTTCTACCCTTTAATACTGATAACTGATCCTAATCACAAACACTGTCACTAATGATGAAATACATCAATCTCTAAACTCTGCATGTTCAAACCCTGTGCTTCTGATCACAGAAGATGAATGCATAACAAACAGCTAGCCAAGCACTGATAAGAGACAGTTTCATATAAATTCAAAGTTACTTAAGAAGCAATTATCAAGATATTTAGCAGAATCCTTTAACTGCTAGAAAACAATAGACAATTTAACTGTTTTCACCTAGAGGGAACAGACTGAATAGTCAGTTTTTCATGTGTTACCAAGAATCAAGAATGAATGAGGAGGAGTGGGCTTCTGCACAGCATGAGGTTTCACTGACGTATCAGGCTGGTGCAGTGTGGAAAGTATCTCTGAGATGCTGTGCTTTTGGCCGCTATCGGGCATCTTGACGTCAAGATTACCAAATAAGAATATGTTCATTCATTTATTCATTCAGGTATTCAACGAGTATTTATCGAGTGCCTCCCTTGCACCGGGCATAGTTCTGAGCTTCTGGGGTACAGAGAATGTGACAGAAAACTCTCCTGTCCTCACAGAGAATATGTTACTGTAGCAGGATTTAGTAAAGCAATAGTATGTCTTTTTAAATGTACTTATTTCTAAAATAAGTGTACTTCAGAAAATAAAATATAAACAAGTGACAATTAATGAAAAAAACAAGTTCAGATAGAGATTGGCGCTAAGAAAAAAATAACACATGACACCATGTGATGTGTCCAAGATACACTTCAGAATGGGAAGCTTTTGGATGAAAAGAAATGTAAATCTCAATTACTGAGAGGCTAGTTTTACAGGATTTTTCATTTGTCTCTCTCCTGCTGACCATATTTTGCCATTTCACTAATTATTACTGTTCCATTAAAGTGCTGAAATGCTAGTCAATAAATGATTATTGAGATCCCACTGTGTTCTCAGCACCAGTACGATTGGAAAATGTGGCTGAATTCAAACAACTAATTCTACTGCTGTGATAAAATATAAGGTGGGGAATGATGCTTGTCAGTAAATAACTGAAGCCTTCTTGTTTTGAAGAGTGTGTTTGAGTTTAAGCTTTCCCAGCCATTTATACATCGCATATCTGATATTCAGCCATTCAAGTTCCAGAAACTCCTCCAAGAGGAGGCATCATTTACTGCCACTAGATGGCACCAATTATTTTCATATTTTTAAGCCAACAAAAGAAAACAAAACCTTTTTCTATGTAATGGCTATATTTTAAATGAATGAATGTTACTTAGCACCATTATTAATAAAAGTATTATTTTATTAATAATTTTCTTATAGGAGAAATCAGAGCTAGCATTAAAGAGAGTATGTTCATTCATTCACGTACTTGTTTATTCAATGTATATCTGTCCCAAATAATCGTTTTAAAAAATGTATTGGCAATGTTTTTGGAAACATAAAAAAGAAAAATGTAATTGAATATATTAAATATATATAGTAATTGAATCTATAAATATCAGGATGAAAAATAGCTGATGAAAGTATATTGTGATATTACATAGATCTTTAAAAGTTTTCAGGAAATAGTTTTAACAAACTCCAGTAGAATTCTTTGTTTTAGAAGTAATTTACCATGTGTCTCTCAAAAATAAGCAATATTTATAAATATATTGAAAAAACATGGTATTTATTATTGCAATTAAATGTAAAGAATGATTACAAAATGCAAAATAGTATAGGAATTTCTTAAGTAAACCTGTATCACTTAATCATATCTCTATAAAAATTTAATATGTACAGCTTTATAAAACAATAAAAATTCAGATCTGAAAAGACACATTTTATCACCATTTCCCTGTTTCTAACTAGTAAGTGCAATTAAAACATATGTAAAATGTTTCTAAAGAAAAAGAGCATAATATATTCTCATTTTTCCAAAAAGTGGTTGGTGAACATTCAAAGTATGTTTATTCAGAAATAAAATGTAACATTCTCCCATTAAAAATGTAAAAATGGCTCTGGAATAAATATAACCTATGCTTTTAAATCAGTAGCCTTCAAAATAAAATAAAGCACAGTGACAAAATGAGAGTGAACATAAAATGCACTGAAAAAAGTAAAGTATAAGTATACTGTATAAACATATTATAATTACTTAAAAGGAAAAATGAAGTTACATGTTTGTTATGCTAAAATATTTATTTTTAAATTTTAAACATCTTTGCTACTTCAGAATGAAAAATGAGTGCCTTAAACTAGCTGCTGTTTTGACTATCCCTGTATTTCCTTCATTCTAAAACAGTCAAAATATAATACTTACTTTAAGATCTGCCAGAGTTTTCTGCCTCATGGTAACGAGAGTTCTTTGTCTCTGTTCTTCCTCAATCAATCTCTCTTCACAGGCCTTTTTCTTACTTATGAGATGATCATAAACGGCTTGTGCATGTTCCTTTTTAAATCTTATAGCTAAATATTGCTCCCTATTAAGAAAGAATTCCAATTACCACTAATCAATTTACATTTTATTTCATAAAATACACTTAGGATACCTTTTAAAAGACCCAATATTGAAAAATCTTAGAACTGAAGGGCTTTGGGAAAATTCCTAGTCCCTTCCATAACCTCCACAGAGCTACATCTAAGTGACCCAGGGGCAAAAAATTTCTGGAGAAATTTGGTGGATTCTCTTGGGTGTTGACCCACAATGCCTCTCTTTTGTTGGCAATCCAGAAGAACCCCTCCTCCATGCAACACATAACTCCAAGGATAAATTTTTTGTAAATCCTCACCCAAGGATATGTGTTTTTTTTAATTGATTTTTAGACAGAGAGGACGGGAGGGGGAGAGAGAGAGAGAAAGAAAATAGCGATCTGTTGCCTTCCGTGAGCCTCAACTAGGGATTGAACCCGCAACCTAGGTATGTGCCCTCATCAGGGATCGAACCCTCAACCTTTTGGTGTATGGGAAGACGCACCAACCAGCTGAACAACCCGGCCAGGGCTCCAAGGATACATTCTGATTAGATTAAGCCAACTAGCCACGTGGCCAATTATGCAGGAATGAGTACATATATATATATTAAGATAGCCCAGTAAGATGAAAGGCAAGGACCTAATTCCATGTAGAAGAGGCTCACAATCACTAAATATAAACAAGGGGTCATGTTTTCGAATTTGCTGACAAGTATAATGGGGAGAGAAAAAAATGAGTACCTAGTGTTCAGCTGCTAAGTCAACCAACCCTGCAGCTTACCTTACCCATGGCCTCCTGTTACACAAGATGATACATTCCTCTATTGTTTATAATTTTTTTTTCTTTTTTTTTACATATCTTTATTGATTTCAGAGAGAGGAAAGGAGAGGGAGAGAGAGAGACAAACAATGATGACAGAGTCATTGATCGAGCCCGCAACCCGGGCATGTGCCCTGACCGGGAATCGAACCCCAATCGCCTGGATCCTAGGTCGATGCTCAACCGCTGAGCCACGCCCAGCTGGGGTCCTCTATTGTTTAAGCTGATGTGTTACTGTGAGTGTGTGTGTGTGCGTGTGTGTGTGTGTATATGCATGCATGTATCTGTCTGTATGTATTTCGTCATATGCAACTAAGTACATCTTGACAAAGAGGGAAAATTATTTTCATGGTGAAATCAGTAGTGATGTATAAAGCAACCCTAGCGGAATAAGCCTCAAAAGGTACTCAAAACAATACTGCAAAAATAACTATGCTTTAGAAATAATTTCCAGAGTCAATCAACAACCCAGAATCCAGAGTAAGAAGATGCAAAAGCTCAGCACAGTTTGTTACCCACATTCGCTTTAATCTCTACAGGTATAGAAAATTGAATAGTTTGCATAGTTAGCTATAAAGACAGCAGGACTAAAAATTTTGAGGGGCTAAAATGTTCAAATGCTTTGAATGTATTATCTCATTTAATACAACCACAACCCTCTGAAGGAATAATTATAGCAATTTACAGGTGAGGAATGTAAACTTCAGCATAATTGGCTTGTGTAAGCTAATTAGTAAATGACAGAACCAGAATGCAAATCCAGTTCTGTCTGACTCTGTTTGATTCAGCAGCTCAACACTGAAATACTCATTTTTCTCTCTCTCTCCACTATGTTATCACTAAATTTGAAACAATGACTCTTTATTCACATTTTTAGATATGAGCTTCTCCTAAATGGAACAAGGTCCTTTCCTTTCACCTATCTTGCCCTTGTTTTTTCCACTTTATCACTCATACAAACAACATCCAAAATTCTTATGTGATGTCCTGTGTAAGAATTCCATAAGACTGAAATGTGGAGCACAGGGACCAATGAAATTCACAGAGAGGAGCAGGTATGACCAACACCAAGAAGCTCTCATAGTTGCTCTTAGCAAATATCACTATATCTTGACCACATATGTTTTATTCTCTACACTGTTCTGATATTTGATATTGATTATATTCATATCAATATAAAAATATAGCATTTTATTAACTATATATTATATATACTATATATGTTTATATGTGTACGTGTGTATGAAAACTGTTTCCTTTCTCACAGTGATAAAAAGAACAACTTTGAAGTCCTATATGTCTGAGTTTGGATCCTTTTACTTTCCAGTTAAGAAACAATTGTAAAAATTTAATGAGAGCCAAGAGTAGCCTTGATAGCTATTATTTTTATTATTTTTAATCAACATATTTCATTTGTTTTGCATATGCAAGGTCTGTCTCTCTAAAACTATCTTCAGACACTTGCAGGTACACTTTCCCACTTGATATTTCTTTGTTCTTCTTGGTGCCTGGCACTAGATGTACTGTGGATTCTTAATAAATAATGATTAACCCGACATGGTCACCTATTGAAAGTACCAACAGATTATCCTAATACAGTCATGTGCCACTTAACAATGGGGATATTCTCTGAGAAATTCGTTGTTAGGCGATGTTGTCACTGTGCAAACATCACAGAGCGCAGTTACACAAAGCTACCTGGTCTAGCCCACTATACACCTTGGCTATGTGGTGTAGCCTATTGCTCCCAGGCTACAACCTACACACCATGTTACTGTACAAAACAACGTGAGATTAAATCAAGCACAAGATAAAATGATGCAATCAAAAGACAAAGTAAGCACGAGATATATGAGGCTGCTGCCAGTGAAGACAGCTTACTGTTTTACAGCAAACTTTGTTTTGTAAGTAGAAAGAGTATGCTGTAAAATACTAATTAAAAGTATACTACAATACATACATAAGCCAGTAACAGTCATTTATTTTCATTATCAAGTATTATGTGCTGTACATAATCGTATGTGCTATCCTTTTACACGACCAGCAGCACAGTCAGTTTGTTTGCACCAGCCTCGCCACCGAAGAGTAATGTGTCGTGCTACACATTCGTGACGTCTAGATGTCACTAGACAATAGCAATTTTTCAGTTCCATTATAACCTTAGGGACCTCTGTTGTATATGGGGTCAGTCACCGAATAAAACATTGTTTTGCAGTACATGACTGCACATGTTCTGTGCATGATTATCTGCAATAGCCTTCCTTTCCAATCCTAGTTCAGGGAGTCAATATACACAGTTGAAAGAGCACACACTTTGGAACGGGATGGACTTAATCTGGAGCTAGCTCTACCACTAATTAGCTGTGCAATCTTAAGACAATCATTTAATTTCCTTGAGCTTCTGTTTGCTCAGCATTCATATGGGAATGTTATTACAAAATTTAAGAATTTTTTTTGAGAACTGGATAAGATACATAGATTTCCCGCACAGTGCCTGGCATATAAGAAAGCAATCAGTGGTAGCTTTAACTATTACTTGACGTTATCTCTATTAATTAATAGATTTGTAAGCAATACCCCAGTGTCGCCTATTCTTTTTATCTTTTTCCTGTAGAACGGCAGAGTTTTGTCAAGTTCCATTCACTGGAACATGGTGACCACTTTTGTCACAAAGGCATTACAAATGTAGGCACAAGATGGAAGAAAATTGTTAGGACTGAAATGGTAAGAATCCTGAAGAGAGAAAAAAATCTTCAGCTCCTGAATTAGATCCTTATTAGTTTAAATGTGAATTATATAATTTAGGCTTAGAAATTTGAGCCCCAAAATATTCTTACAACTAATAAACAATATAGATAAATATTTTTCGAAGTATACAACATGTTTCCTTACTTTCTTACATGATATACTGAATATGATTTAGTCTTTTTCAGATAAAGCTATACGATCATTTGGGGAAAAAGTTTTTACCCTATGGTAATAGCGAAATGAATCCTTGTTGAGTGCACTGACTTGCAGCCATTTACGGTATATGGTATTAGGCTGTGCATAAGTGTTTCTCTGACACCTTATATCCCTCGAGTGCCATGAATTTGCTAAGGCTGCATTAGCCTTCTATATTTAAGTCGAAGTATAATTCCTAAATGTGACAAATGCATATTCCTTCAATAGCCCTCCAATCCCTGTTCTCAATGTATTACAAAATAAAAAATGAGAACCACGAGGAGTAAATGAAGACTGTTTAAGTTCTAGGTGAGGGTCTATGGATACCCTAACGTTCTTGGAGCACGATCATTCCCCAAGGGACAGGCTTTACTAACCCTCGTCAGGTACAGCCCCAACTAATGAGGGAACTTCTTTTATAGAATATCAATTTCTAAATTCTTACCTCAAAGCTTATTTTAAAAGTTTGAGTGAAAAACCACATGTTATTAACCATGTCATGTAAGTGAGAAATACTAAAATTCGTAGGAAGGTTTACTAAGTTCAAAAGAAATAAAAATTCATATAGTTGGAAAAAGAGAAGCATTCCCAATTATTCGAGTGAAAATAAACCTAGTGGAGCAGTGAAAAATAAAAGCAATTTATGATCTTATTTTTAAACCAAAATTATCAAACAGCACATGTGTATTCCACATCAAACTATGATAGAAAAGATGGATCATTTAAAATATGAATTATCTCTTTTATAAATAATACATTAAACATTTAATATTTGATACAATGTAAGTACATACCTCAAAGTGTCCAGTATCTGATCAAAAATTTTCTTTGCCTCTTCTTTTTCTTCTAGGTCCTTATTCAATTTACTTACTTGTTTTTTAAAAACAGCTGTTTTAGATTTAGTTGATTCTATTTCACTAAAAATTGTTGAGCTCTTTCCCTGGAAAACAAATTCAGAAATGTTTTATTTTAAAGCCTTGGGGTTTAGGGGCACAACTACGTTTGGTCATAGGAACAATTAAGAGCAAATAGTAGCTTCTTATCAATTTAAGCACTAAGTGCCCTGGCTGGGGTGGCATCGTCCCGTGCACCAGGGGGTTGCCTGTTTGGTTCTTGGACAGGGCACATGCCTGTGCTGTGGGCTCGATTTCCCCCATGGGGGGCGTGCAGGGCGCAGCCTATCAATGGTGCCCTCTCACACTGACGTTTCTCTCTCCCTCTCCCTTCTTCTCTAAAAGTCAGTACAAAAATCTTATATATATACACACAATAACTTATGTTTATGTCTTTCTCCATTGCTACATCTGATGAGATTTTGCAAAAGATGGGACCATGCGCTGGGACTATCTATTCTCTCTTCCCCCATCTTTCCCCCTCTCTCCCCCTCACCCTCTCCCCCCTGCACTAGTCTGTCCCCATTCTCACACACACATGCGCACCTTCAAGTCATGTGCTTTCAAGATGCAAACATGTGGCCACTGGTTTTCAAATATGTACACTGAAGGTGGGAAAGGATATATATTGTTCTGATCTTTCAAAAAAAAAATCGGTATTTAATTCCAGTGCAATTTCTCACGCAGGCCTCTGCAGTTCCAGACCGGAGATTTGATTTTGCATGATCCCTTCATGCTTGTTGGTACATATATATATTGACTGAATAACTTACTGACTGGTGACTTACTGAATGCTGTTCCCTGTGTCTGGCATTGCTTCTAATTGGTGCTACTCTTCCAACTGATGCCAAGATCTCAATTTCTCCCTATGCTTTTATTTTCTCCATTTCTCCCATAGGCTTCCTAATTCTCTACTCATAGATTTCAAGAACAGCTAATCTTTTATGTTTATTTTCCTATAAAACTCTGCTGTTTGTCCAAGATTTTGAACACTGGCCACTGTCTTTGAATTTACATATCCTCCCTGTTCTCTTTTTCTGGAAGTTCTAGAATTTTTCTACTGATAAATGAAGGGCTTTTTGTTTGTTTGTTTGTTTTTCTTTGTTAATATCAGAATGCAGTTGAAAGACAGCTGAATGAGATTCTTCAATGGGCCCACTAGGATATTTTATTATTACTGCGACAAAAATCAATCCCCCAAAAAAGAGTATGGAGAGGCACAAGTGTGGAGTAAAGTAAGGAGGTAAGGGTCAAAGAATGAGCAACTCTGAATACAGCATGCTACCAATCACTAAACTTGACTTTCAGATGAGATTCCATAATTCATGCCTTAATCCAGAGTGATGATTCCCACAGAAAACTGAGAAAACTTCAGAAGCAATGGTGTCAACAACTTAGACCATACTAGCCAATTCAGCACTGCTGAAGGTGGTGCCAGAGGATCCTGCACTAAAGGAGAGAAAGAGGCTGTGCTTCCCGCAAGCAGCAGTGAAAAACAAAAATTGCATATTTTGGCACCAGTAATAGGTACCATCAGTGAGGCTCTGTACCCCTGCCATGGCATCAAAAATACCAGAGACATCCCCATAGTGATTTGAGTCTGGAGAGATGAAAATGTTAGATGCCGTATGTCAGGAGTACAAATCTGCATATCTCAATGAGCAAAAGCTTGAGGACTCCAAGTGCAATTTGTAAATCTTTTGATGAATATGGAAGTATCACCAGAGCAAATGGGAATAGAGGCATTAAACAGTACATTTATAATATGACCATTTTTTGGATTATTTTTTTCTCTAGCCTGGGTGACAAAGGTTTCAGCAATTTGGAGGCTTTCCACCCAAAGGCGCTTTCATGTCCAGACTTGGAAAGGTCTGAAAATCTGAATTGCAGTTAATTATTGTTTTGCTATATGTCACTTTTCATTACTTCCTTATCTCAAAAACTTTCAAACCACACATTTAAAAAATATTAAGTAATAAAAATTATAGTTAGATTCTAAATTATTAAGGTGAATTTATATTTTTAATTTTTATTAGGATTTAATAAATGTTACCTAAATGTAATAAGTTCAATGTCTACACCTAAGATTTAAATTGGGGTTAAAAATAGTAAAAATTTAGTAATAATTTCTATCTTGGTCCACGATTGAAATGCTTATGCACAGGAAAAGATAAAATTATTTGTGTTAGAACTTAAGTTCTTATACAGAAAATGGCATCTATAGCACTGACTGTGTGCCAATCAGTATGATGAGTAGTTAATAAATGCTGTTAGTGATGTTTGATATCACAACAGTTTGCAAGTCCCTTTAGAGTAGGGTCCAATAGCATGGCCTACAGGCACCTCTTCCTCTGGGCATTGCCTGTCTCACTAGCATGATCTCTTTTCACTCTTCTAACAGGTGCCCGGCTCACTGGCCATACTGACCCACTTGCCATTCCACAAACACATTGCCTTTTCCCCTGATCGCTTCGCTTCGTAAACACAGTGTCTGTTTCTCAAATGCCCTTACCTCATTTCTTCAAGCTAAAAATTATATAATAAATAATAATAATAATAGAAACCATTTGTTAAATATTTCCAGTGCCAATTATTCTTTTAGGTGTTTTATGTATATTATCTATATTCTCTTCAGTATCATGGCAAGGCAGGTACCCAACCTCTACTTATACCATTAATATTCTCATTTTTAGACACCACCTCTTCTGAAAAACCTTCCAATTCCCTCAGTTCACCCTGGTTTCCTCCCCCTCGATCTTTTGCACGTGACGTGGCTGTCCTCGCCCCGCTCACAATTAATTTTTCCTATATTTCTCTCTTAGCCTGTAAAATATGGGCTTGTTTTTGCCTTTAGTGTAAGAGTTTAGATGAAAATTTATTTGAAATGTATAGAATGAAATGTATTTATGAAATGTATAGAGTTTAATAAATTTATTGTATAATTATTAATGCTGCTGCTGCTTCGTCTGCTCCCCAACAAAAAGACGTGGAGTGAACTCCAGAGGAGTTAACCAAGTTCTCCTTTTACTTCCCTAACTCCAGCAACTTCCAACAACATTTAATATATTTAAAGTGCGCAATAGTAATTGGAAAGAAAAAATTAATTTGAAGGACAAATAAAATTAACCCTTGTCTAATCCTCCAACTTCTAGTAGTACCTTCTGTAATATTGAGAACACACACACACACACACAAATAGTATTCAGCCACATTTTTCTTGGAATTTGTTTATATTTGTTAGATATGCCACCTTTGGCAATTTTTAGTTAATATTTTTGAAATTAATATTTAGATATGGACATAAGAACCGTGGTAGCTTTCTGTTGCTGTGATAAACACATATGTTTTAATCTTTCGTGATGTGTTACAAGTAATTTGTTATCAGTAACGGTAGTGTGTTAAGTAGTAACAGCTGGTATGAATGTTTTGTTCCTGATTTTAATGGAAATACTTTTCATGTTTCATTATTAAATATGATGTTTGATGGAAAATACTGTTAGAGACATTGAAACACATATTATCAAGGTAAGGATGTTTTCATTCTATCTCTAGACAGGTAAGTATCTTTTTAAAAATCACTAGTGGCTATAGAGTTGTATCAAATATTTTAGGTTAATTGTCTTTCATTTCTGCAAATGTAGTGAATCATATTAATACAATTGTTTATATTGAGTCATCTTCACATTCTTCAAAGGAATCTTACTTTGCATAGTATATTATTTTCAGTACATTGTAAAATTCGATTTGATGATATATTTAAGAATTTGTCATCTATATTCATAAGTGAGGTCACCTTTAAATTTTTAATGCTAATATTTTCATTTATGATTTCAAGGCTACATTATTACAGAATGAATTTAAAAGCTTTCCACTCTTTCTTATGCCATGTACCTAGCTGTTGTAGGAAAGCCTGTAAAATCTGGGCTTGTTTTTGCCTTTAGTGTAAGAATTTAGACAAAAATTTATTTAAATTTATGAAATTTATAGAATTGCGCAAATTTATTGTATAATTACTCATCTACTGTTGCTGTTTTTTCTCTTCACCCAGTTTTCCTCATTTATATTTTATAAATATATACTTCACATAGATTTTAAAACAAATTGCTAGCCCACTGGGGGGGTGGCTCAGCAGCTGAGCATCAACCTAGGATCCAGATCACGGTTCGATTCCCCATCAGGGGCGTGCACGAGGCAGCTGATCAATAATGACTCTCCCATCATTGACGTTTCTCTCTCCTCTCTCAACCTTCCTCTGTCTGAAATCAATAAAGATATATATTTTTTTAAATTGCTATGCAAAATAGCATTCTTTCCTTCACTTCTATATAAAACTATGTCTCTTTTATTTTTTCCTATATTTCTCTCTTAATTACTGTTAATATCTATTTGTTTCTCTTTTGGCATTAATACATATGCCAAATACTTTTAGTTTTTCTTACCAAAATAATGCATTGGTAATAGCAAAGTATGATCTTGGCCCAATTTTGCTGTATAATTTATTATCAATCATTTACAAGTAAATGGTAATTTGTATTTCTAAATAGTCCTTAAAACAGAAGCAAATTAATAATGAAAATGTAATTTAAAAATATTTCCAGTAGTTTACATATTATTGTTCTTTTAGCTATATTTTTTGTCATTGAGTTCTGATTGTACTTCATTGTGGTCAATAAAAGCAACCTGTAAGATTTGACCAGTATAATGCAACGGTTAAGAGCATAGATTCCAGTGCCAGGGCCAGACATAGTCAGTCTCAACTGTATACTAAGGAGCTATGTGAAACTGAATTCTTAAAAAACAAGGCATCAGATGCTTCAGTTGTAGAATGGATATAATAATAGCACATTCTTCATACAGTTTTCATGAAGACAAAATGAGTTAATATGTTAGAACACTTAGAACAATGCCTGGCATATAGAAAACGTGCAACATATTAATAATTTTTTATTATTATTATAAGCATTATTATTTTCCTCAGTAATATTTTTATGTTTCTTTTGTGGCCCAGTAGAGGGCAAACTCTTTTTAATGATATAATCACATCTCTAACTCATAGCCCACATGCTGTCCACTCACAAATCCTGTGGCGACCTTTAAAATATATCCAGGGGAGAACAAGTTAAAGGCAATGGACTATCTCTACTTCCCCATATCCAATGATTCTCTAAAGATAGAATATCAGATGTAAGGATTTTCAGGGAGTAAATATTTATAATTTTGAAAAAGCCCTGAAGCGTTTTGCTATATATAGCAACTTGTTCATACTGCCTACATACCGGTTTGAGGGTAAAATTTAGATGTCAGACATCAACAAATGTTTCAGTCTAGAGATTGGTTTCATTTATAGAAACATGGTACTATTTAGTACACTACACATGTCTGTCTCTACTTTGCAGGAAAGGTAACAGGAGATAAACTCAATCAATGGGGAAGACGCTGTGAGGGGAAATGAACACACAGAGACTGTGTGAGGGGGCTGGCACATGCGTGAATGCATGCACATGCACACATAAGTACATGCAAAATCAATTTAATGAAACCAATTAGAAATGAGAGGCATCCATCTAAAACTATATTTTCTTGAATAGTTTTAACTGACATAAAGGGTAAATTAAAAAATTTTCATATTAAATTTCTTACCTCAGTTTCTATTAGTGCTTCTTGGGTTTTCTTCCCCTTTCTTTGCAACTTTTTCTGTGTCTTTTTCACATTGGTTTTAATTTTGTCTCTCTTTTCAATTATATCACTTAGTGTCTAGGAGAGATTCCAAAATTAAGATGTGTAGCATTTACAATCCAATTATCCTGGTTTAGATCAAATAGTCCCCAAGTGACCATTCCAATAATAACAATATATATTTTTATATAAAGGGAAAGGAACACCATACATGAATTACAAAAACATACTACGATATCCACAATCCCAATATTCAGTTTGAATTACCTGAGAAAAAACAAATCCTATCAATTTTAGCTAACACACACTAATAAACTCAAATAGAAATTATACATTTTCATCACAATATTCAAAATCTTTTAACCAAAATTAAACCTCCAAATACAAATTGTCAGTAATCATTACAGAAAGTGTATAAAAACTTATTCTTTCCAAGAGTTTAAGCTAAATAAAAGTTCTTATAATTTATAAACTATTAAAATATAATAAAAACAAATATAATTACTAAACCACAAGAAGATATAAAACAATGGCTACTCTAAAATAAGGGAAAATAAAAGTCACTAATCTTTCCTGGAATTCATTCTCACACTGAGATGATTGTACTGAGGCTTTTGATGCAATTAATAAATTTCCATCATTAATGTAAAGAAGAGTCATTATTAAAATCATTTATTTCACTAGGTGTTAGTTACATGAGCTCTAGGATAAGCATTTAGAAGCCTTAAGTAGGATAATATACCCAGAATTTATTGTTTCCATGCTTTATGCACTTGAACAAGCTGCTTCAGACATTTAGGCCCAAGTTTCCTCAAGTCTATGATATAGATAAACTTTCTGTTGCCTATTCCATAGAGAGGCTTTGAAGGTCAAAATAAACTTTCCTATTAGGGACACTTGGCGAATCACAAAGATTTTAAAATAAAGAAAATTTGAAAAGACTAAGAATACAAAGTTACACCATAGTTTGCAATGATAAAAAAAAAAAGTCCTGCTGTCAAAATGGCCCAAATGAATAATATGTATCTACTCCCTGCAGCTAAAGACAAGTATGCATAACTCTTACCACACCCTCTACTTCTCCAAAAGACTAATGACATGATGTATACATATTTTTCTACCAATTTTTTCTTTGGGAAGGGCTAGTAATATCAGTTACTGCCATGAACTTGTTGTTTTGAAAATATTTCATCGACATTTGCTTTCCTTTTCATCCTAGCTGTTTTCTGCATACATCAAAAATTTACTCTGAAAATGTCAAGATGCATTATATTTTATATTTGAGTAAACACAGCTTTACCATTTTATTAATGAGCAGTGAAGACTTTGAATTAAACGTAGCACGCTGGGCGATCATACCAAATAAATCACCTCTCACGTACTGGAGAGCTGATTTTCCTAAGCGCCCCCCAAGACACACGGCAGAGGGTTCCGGGCAGCAGCACTGACAGGCCTGCTGCGATTCCACCGCAGGCCAGCTGTGCACTCAGGAAGCAGTTACTTATTCTGTCCACTGTTTTACGCCTTCCTACGTGAAATCATGATTTCCCAAATAATAATAATATAAAAATCATGTACCTGGTTTATCAAGCTACATATCCCTGAAAATTCGTTGCTGGGTTAGTGGGAAATGCTTACGTCGAAATGCTCCCTGTGGGACATTTTGACTCTCTGGGCATCCTCCTCAACTTGTAGCAGAGGCTCCTCCAACTCGGCCAGGATCAGCGAGTACACCGCCTTCCTCTGCAGAAGCTCCTCCTTCTCAAGCACCTCTTCTTCTTGGAGGGTAAGCAGTCTTTTCTGCCGGCAAAGATTCAAAGCAGTTCAGTCAGTCACTAATTACCCGAACTGTCTCCAATCTTGCACCAGTCAGGAATATTTGCTGTTATTTGCCACCATAAAAAGCAACAGGTGTGGATACAGCAAATTTAAAGAGTGTACAGTTTATTATTTTAAAAGTGACAAGAAAAAATATTAATGAAAGATAAAAATCAAACATTCTTAAGTACGTGTTGGAAGGTAAAAAGGTCAGAGAAACACACCACCAACAAATACTGAAACATATGTTAATTCCTGGCATCTTAGTCCAAATATAACCAAGCAACAAGAAGCTAATAACAATATAGTAAGCAAGAAGGGCTGAGAGATTACTGAATTATTAACTATATAAATTAGGAGAGCTGGCATTTTCACACATATAGAAGTAGAGAAACACTGCTTTGTATGCTTGGAAATGTCAAATTTCCTAACAGAGCCGGGCCAGGCGTGGCTCAGCAGTTGAGCATCGACCTAGGATCCAGGAGATCAGGGTTCGATTCCCAGTCAGGGCACATGCCTGGGGTGCGGGCTAGGCAGCCGATCAATGACTCTCTCATCATTGATGTTTCTATCTTTCTCTCTCCCCCCACCTTTCCTCTCTCTGAAATCATTAAAGATATGTTTTAAAAAAAATAAAAATTTCCTAACAGAAGAAATTGCAAATTTTGTGTTTGTTTCAAAGAGGGCCAGAGGTGCAGATAATCCCAAATAACCTTTAAAAAATAACACTGTTTTGGATTCTTTTGTCTCTTGATTTTATTTTTCTAATAAAAATAATTTCAAATATTTATGTATTTTTGAAGGAGAGGCATTCTAGGAAGATGACAGGGTTTCAAAGCATATGTAGGTGGTGTAGAGTTAAAAAAATTAAAATGGATTTTACTAGCTCTAATGCTTCAGTCTCATTTTTTTCTTTACACAGAACAATCATAGCATATTTTTCTTTTAGTGTTAAATAAAGAAATTCAATTGAAAGGCATTAAAAGTAAAGAAAACATATCATCACAAAGCAAACTAAAGAGGCACTTAGGATTAGGATCCCACTGCCCCTTTGCTAGACTGGCAGAAATTCCCATTCAGCCACAGAATGAGATATGTATACCGGAGGTCAGCGTTTTTACGCACCATCAGACACGGCCAGTCCTACATGGAGGGCAACTGTCACCAGCTAAGGAGAGAAAACTGCTGGCTTGCAAACCAAGCAGTAAGAAGATGCCTCATTATAGACAAATTTAAAATGCTAAGTAAAATGCAAATTAAAGGAAAGCTAAAATATTAGATGCAAGTCGGGATTACCTGAAGCATCATCCCATTGGCTACTTCACCTCGAGTGAGTCTTTTCAAGAATTCTTCTCGACCCTATAAATCATCAAATTTTTTAAAGAGGAGTTTTTATTTATATAATGTCATTTTTAAAGACAATTGCTAACACAAGATACATTTTACTTATGTTATAATAAAAAGCAAAACATTTGTTACAAATTGAGTATTATAAACAAACAAACAAACGCGCCTGCTGTTATTTGAGGCAAAGCTAGCATGCGATACAAGGCCATGAAACAGAACACAGAATTTCAGTTCAACTCACTTTATACTTTATACTCTGGAACTGAAGTATCAGAGTAATAAAAATGGGAAAAACTAGACAGTCTTCAGTTCCGCTTTTTAAAAACTCTCAATCTGTTTTTAATATTAATTTCCATAAAGAAAACATTCAACTTTGAAAATAAGATAGGCACGATTCACACGTGAAGTTCGCAAAATGGGCAGATTCTCCATTTGGTTAGAATGATTCCTTTTTTCTTTCTTCATTCTCTTTTCTCTTTTTTTATATCATTTCTTATAAGTTAATAGGCAAAATATTTTTGGAAAAATCTTTCTGTTACTTGGATAAAGAGTTATAAACTCTTCTAAGTTGTATTATACATTATCACACAACCAGATTGAGAAATAATTCAAAAAGTTCCTGTTTTATTTTAACAATTTTAAAAATGTATTTTGTTGTTAATATTACAGATGTCTCCCGTTTTCCCCCACTGCCCCCTCCACCCAGCACCTGCTTCACCCCAGCCTTCAAAAGCACTATTTAGTCTGTGTCCATGTAGATATGCATATAAATTCTTCGGTTAATCTCTTCCCACCCCACCCCTACGCCCTTCCCTCTGAGATCTGTCAGTCTGTTCCATGAATCCATGTATCTGGACCTATTTTGTCCCTCAGTTTATTTTGTTCATTAAATACCACATATAAGTGAGATCATATGTTACTTGTCTTTCTCTGCCTTACTTATTTCACTTAGCATAATACTCTCCAGGTCCATCTATGCTATAGCAAAGGGTAAGAGATCCTTCTTTTTTACAGCTGCGTAGTATTCCATGGTGTAAATGTCCCACAGCTTTTTTATCCACTCATCTACTGATGGGCACTTGGGCTGTTTCCAGATCTTAGCTATTGTAAATTGTGCTGCTATGAACATAGGGGTGCATATATTCTTTATTAGTGTTTCAGGATTCTTAGGGTATATTCCTAGAAGCGGGATCACTGGGTCAAATGAAGTTCCATTTTCAGCTTTTTGAGGAAACTCCATACTGTTTTCCATAGTGGCTGCACCAGTCTGCATTCCCACCAGCAGTGTACTAGGGCTCCCCTTTCCCCACACCCTCGCCAGCACTTGTAGTTCGTTGACTTATTGATGGAGCCATTCTGACAGGTGTGAAGTGATACCTCACTGTGGTTTTAATTTGCGTCTCTCTGATGGTTAGTGACGTTGAGCATCTTTTCATATGTCTATTGGCCATCCGTATGTCCTCTTTGGAGAAGTGTCTATTCAGGTCCTTTGTCCATTTTTAATTGGATTGTTTGTCTGTCTTTTGTTAAATTGTGTAAGTGCTTTATATATTTTGGAAATTAACCCACCAGATGTGTCGCTGATGATTATGTTCTCCCATACAGTGGGTTTCCTTTTCATTTTGGTTTCTTTTGCTGTGCAGAAACTTTTTTTGTTTGATGTAGTCCCATTTTATTTATTTTTTCCTTTGTTTCTCTTGCCCCAGGAGATGTATTAGCGAATATTCTGCTATGAGAGATGTCTGAGATTTTACTGTCTATGTTTTCTTCTAGGATTTTTATGGTTTTGAGACTTATATTTAAGTCTTTTATCCATTTTGAGTTTATTTTTGCGTTTTGTGTAAGTTGGTGGTCTAGTTAAAAGTTCTTTCTGCTTTAGCATTACACCCTGGAACCCCTCATTTGAGAGATGATTTGGCTTGTATATAGGCTGTCCTCCACATCTGAAAGAGATGTAAAGCTTTGCAGGGGTAAAGTGGAGGTTCAGAAATGTCTAATATCCCTCCTTCATTACGGACCCATTCATCGTACCCCAGGGTCTACAGAGACAATATAAAGAAACAACAACTCGATAAGTCTCTCCTACAACTCTTCCTTTTCTTGGTATAGCAACTCATCAAAATCATGCTTTCCTAAAATGAAATAAAAATTCCAAAGAAAGAAAAAAAAGTGCCAAGGAAAGCAATAACTTTAATATATTACCTCACCTAAGGATGTACCTACCTCTAAAGCCAATTTATACAATGATACATTTTGATAATTTAAATGAAATTAGTTGCCTCTTCTAACATGATAGCAGACAGAGTGGTTTATCAATTTGTTCAATATTTAATTAAGAGGGAACCAAATTAAAACGTCTCTATAAACTGGAGAGAAATACATCGTATTCCAAAAAGAGAGTGCTACATTTGTCCTTTGTCAGAAACTAATTGAAAAAGTGTGTGTGTGTGTGTGTGTGTGTGTGTGTGTGTGTATGTGTGTGTGTGTACTGAAGAGGTGAGTTGGGATGTAAGGCATGAAACCGAAAAGGTGATTATCAGATTATGTAGGATCTTTAAGGCACAGCAAGAAAAATAGTGAAGGATGTTAGGTAAGGTATGTGTATCAGAAAGGTCACTTTGGCCGCAATAAGGATTGATTAGTTTTTGTTTCCTTAAAATTTATTCATTTATCCTTCAAAAAATTGTTTTTAATTATAATCCAGTAAGAGGGTAATTCATTGTTTAAATGAATTTAAGTTCCTGAACTTAGAACTATTAACAGTACACAATGTAAGGCTAATAAAAACTGTAGGCAGCATATGAGAAATTACAATAAAACAGGCTAGGCGTTTGAAGCTGTAAAACAATTGGATTTCTCTGAAAAGAAGGGAAAGAGTCCCTAAAATTTTGAAATCTGTATATTTGTACAAAACCAACTCAACCTGTTACCAACGGGCAAATCTGCAGTCCCCACAGAAAAAACATCCAGAGCTTCACTCTTAATCCCTCTGGGAACCCTTCTGAGCTCTGTTTCCTACCATACCCCCCAAACTCTGTGACTCAGAGACCAAGGTCAGATGACTGATCACCAGAAGGGAAGGTATCTATTACTGGCTGGGCTGCCAATGTCACACTTGTACCAAACACAGGGCCATAGGGAGTGTTTCCGGTCACATGTTCAAGGCCTTCCTTTGGAACTATCCCCTTACTAGAGGTATGACTAGTTCCCTAGGCACTGGTAAAATGCCCTGAAGCTGGCCAGTTCCTAGAAGAACTAGTGAGTTACTGTGACCTTCAAAACACCCTAGAACATGCTAAAGACTGATATAAGGTGAGCTCTGATGGTCATAGGTCTTGGGCCATGAAGTACAACATCTGAGTGGGGGGACTCGTTTGTCTTACAATCTTGTTGTCAAAGGTGGTGTACTCTGCAAAGCTGACTGGGAGGTGGGGTTTGGTGTGCAGGATCCTCCTTAAAGAGTGCACCTGGAATAAACTCCTGTTGGACTAGACGGGGGATGGGACAGGAAGGAAGGAAGGAAGACGATGGGAGAAGAAAGCAGAATTGGGCAGAAACACAGGCTGAGCTGCAACAGCCCCATACTCTATCCTCAGCTTCCAGTACTCTGTCCCATATATAATATTTGTTGAATGAATAATTTATTGAACAAATGCATTAACCAATTACACACTGCTTTTAATCCCTAGTTTGAGGAATGAAACTGTAAAAGTTTCAGGTTCTTTCAAAGTCAAAAATATGTTCTTAAAAAATCTCTTTATATAATGAGAAACTCAGGATCAGCTAAAATATCATTATCAAACAAATTCCCATTTATAAACAGCATCTTGAAGGTGGGTAGTAAAACAAGGCCTACAAGATGTAGGAAAATGGGTGACGTCGTCAGAAAGGCAGGGAGGTAAGTAGCCGAGTAAGAGCTGAAAGAAGACTACCTTTTTCAGGAACATGGCCTGCAGCCCAATTTGTGCCAGGCTTTTCAGCTCTTCAAACTGCCAACTCATTATAAAGGGAATGAAAGCCCAGAAACATCACTATTTCATAATTGCTACAGTAAAAGATTCAACCAAGAATTGTCAATAGATGCTCAGTCCATCAAGTGGCATTTTTTAGAAACAAAGACACAGTTGCATATTCTTTAAATATCACTCAACTGAGTACTTATTAACTACAATAGGAAAATGGACTAATCTCTTGGCCATAACTTTAACCAAATGATCAAGCTTATTATCACTAGCAATGAGACAAACTTATACTATGTACTTTGTGACATATGTCATTGATACAATATGATAACCATGTAATATTCCTGCCAAAATGTTTAACCTGAATCTAACTATGAGCAAATAAAAAGGTAAATCCATATTGAGAGAAATTCTGCAAAGTAACTGGCCTAGATTCTTTTTAAAAATGTCAATATAATGAAAATACAATTTTTTTTTTTAATGTAGGGGATTCTTTAAGATTAAAGGAGACTCAAAAGTTATAACAAAACTGCAATACATGATGATCAATTACATATAGCAACCAATTAAGTTACAGAAATTTGTATGTGGACTATAAATTCGTGCCTATTATTTAATCATTGCCTCTTAGCTCTGCACCACTCTTTTAACTCTAATTTGAGACACTGGAGCTGGATCTTGTAAAGAGTTTTCGTTTGCAGCTGGAATAAAGTTAGGTTTATCAATAGAGGGCAGTGGAAGGGCTTACACGGATATAGTAAGGGGTTTCACATCCTGTTCCATCCGGGTGTTTTCTCCTTTCTCTTGCAGAACTGCTGCCAGCTGGTGTGGGGGGAACCAAGGAAGCTTGCACTCCAGCCAGGCTCTCTACTCAGAATCTCCATTCAAACTCCGTTCAACCTCTATCCAATTTCTCTGGCATCTGGCAGGTGGCTGCTTATGGACACAGCCGCACCCTCTCCAAGAAGGCTTTGCTCTTCTTTGGAGGAGGGCAGCCTCCTCCACGGCTGTTCCTCCTCTGGGTACATTCACTCATCCCTAAAGGCTGTGGCTGCTCCCTACATTTGCTATTCCTGTATCGTTTAGAGCAGGGGTCGCCAAGCTCTCTCTTTAAATGGCTAGGTTAGTAAATAATTTCTACTTCGGGGCATAAAGTCTCTGTCACAACTACTCAGTTCTGGTTTAGGAGAAAAACTAAAAAATATCAAAAGATCACTCTGAAGAGCTTGAGAGAAGCTGAGGGAAAGGGGGCGCAGCATCTCAAACGCTGGGAAGAACACACACTAAAAATTGTCCCCTTTGACCGGCTGCCTGGTTTTAGCAGCCAGAAACCAGAAGGTGGCAGCAGAGAGCCACTCTACTGGCAGAGGCTCCTAGTGCAAAGGACGCTGAAGCACGCAAGTCGGAGAGATGTCCAGAAACTCGCCGTTCAAAGGAAAGGGGAGTATACAGTAGAATAGGTTAAGATCAGAAACGAGGTAGTAGCATCAGTTTGTGTTCCAAGGACTGAAGAGGCACTAAGAAAAAAGTTAGATAACATTATTATCTAAGCTCTGAGACCAGGAAGAGGGAGAAAGAGATTTTAAAATTCAGAGTTAAAAATCATAAAACAAAATTTGGAATTTGTGCAAAAAGCTGAGGGCTGGACTGAATTAATGGGGCAGGGCAGCTCTGGCTGTGCACTGTTAGGGCACTTTTCTGGTGGCCAGGACCCTAAGAGAAAGTCCAAGTGGCAGCCCAACCTGGTCTTAAGAATAAACACAAGGGTACTATTTTATCTTTCTTTTTTTAATGAGGTTTTACGTGTATTTTGTAAAAACACTTTAAAGTTACTAAATGTAAATTAAAATAACCTGAATCCCCAAACCCAGAGATAAGCGTTGTGCCTTTTTAGTGTATTCCTTTTTAGTTCTAGGGGTTAACATTTTTATCTTTGGTGAAGTCAGCCTATTAAGATCTTTCTCAGCCACCAGAAAAAGCATAAGTCCCATTAACTATTTTAAATTAAAAATTGAATCAATAATTTATTCTTGTGCTTATATTTAACTACTATTCTATTACTGAGAAATTTGTGTATTTGAATTTTCCCACTATATGTTAACTGAATTCATGCTTTCCATAAACACTGAGTGCCTACATTCTAAACAAATACCACATTGTCTTTTTTCTAGCATTAAAAATAACCCTTAAACATCTAAACAAATTTAAAAGACTAGAAAATCATACAATGTCTGCTGTCAGACCACAACAGAATTAAACTAGAAATCAATAACATAAAGATAACTGGAAAAATCCCCAAATATGTGAAGACTAAACAACATATTTCTAAAGAACACATGTTCAAGGAATAAATCTCAAAATTTATGTATTTATTTATTTCCACTTAGTTCTAGTACTGTTATTTTAACCTGGAACCAGAGTGGCCTGCTGTTCTACTTTTCCACCAAAATTCCAGTATGTTCAAGCAAAACACATTCCAAATTCCTGCAGCTTGCAGAGAAGCCTTCTATTGAAATGTTGAGAAGTATTTAATATCTGATAAAAGCTTTCAAGATTTTTTTTATTACAATATCACATTGTTCAAACAACTGGATGATTTTCTGTTCATTCCATCAACAACATAATTGAATACTTATTACACTATCGATTTATCTCCCATCATTATTGGCTAATTTTATCCTGGGACTAGGCTAATTTTGTCTTTCCTGAATAGGTCACTTATTGGAATTGAAGGTATTTAAAAACTGGGATAAATCATCTTTAACATCTGGAAAATGCCAGAAAGTTCTAGATATCTTGATTGTTCAGAGTTGCTTCTAGTCTATGACTGCCTAAAAGTTACTGGGCATTTTACAGATGCATTAATTTGAGAGAACATAATTCAGAAATTCTTCCTGTAACGCTTCAACAGGTTATTTTTCAGAGCTAGCTTACAGGGGGTATTGCTATAATTGACATCTAAAAGACATGAATTTTAGGACTAATTTCAGGCCAGGATCAACAAATACACAAAGCTGTCTGCAAGAAAAAAAAAAATGATGCCCAGGCTCGGAAAATTATACAGGTTTTCATAATTAGTCAATGAAAAACACTAGGGTCATTACAAAGGCAGAAACCACAAACTTGAATTACTACAAACCTGAATTATCTAAGGACTACCTAGAAATTTATTTTTAATTCATTACTACTATGACAGATATACATGTGTACATCATAGAAATTTAATGTCCTATATATTTAGGTCAGAGATTAGCATAAGTGTTTGGCAATGGGAAATATTTCCGACATGGAGTAATTTATTTCTGTTGCTTATTTCTAGTTGTCTCTCAGCTACCATAGGGTAGAAGGAAGACTTGAACAATTTCTTCAATTTTTCTTGAATAAAGCCAGGGGGCACTTTGCTTTGGGTTGGCAAAACAAGTATGGTAGAATCACACCAAATTTGCCCTTAGACTACAAAGTGTATTTTATGGCAACAGAAAAATTTAGAAAAAAAAAAATCAATCTAATGCAACAGCTTTCTTAGTGTCTCAGATTAGTGAAGCAATATGTCTAAAGAATTAAAGGCAGGCTGAAACAGCTATAATATCAAGGGTTTCCTATCAACTGAAAAAAATTAAAACACATTGTTTAGTGGCTAAATAAGTGGATGATGTCTTCATTGATATCCTCAATGAACATATTAATTGATGGCCATAAAGAAACACATTTTAATAAAAAATCCAAGACAATTGTAAATAATACCTACAGTATTATTATACATGCTAAAGCATAAACACATAAGCTTTAAAATTTGTAATTTTAAAATCGAGGTTAATTTTTACTATATATAATTTTAATCATACTACTTTAGAACATATTAAGACATGACACACCCACTGAAAAACTCATGAGAAGGGACAAAGGCATGATACACCAAGTCAGCTCAACAGCTGGACTCCATGTGGGAACGAAACTCCAGTCTCTCAGTACAGAAACATTTGCATGTCCTAAATTTAGAGAGCACAGTAAAAAGTCTTTACTGAAGATAATGTTTTTACAGGGCACGGACACTGAATACAGATTCTCTATTTTACAGATAACTGCATGATCATAAGTCTTTAGTAAGAAAATAGTCAAAGACGAAAGAAGTGTGGGTGTGATGTGTGATGGACAGAAGTAGCCTGCTGAAGTAGCCCCTGGGTGGGTAAAGTGGAGCTGACTGTGCCAGTCTCTATGCCAAATGGCAGGGAGTGGCTATTCATCAATCTCCAAATGGGGATGGATTTGAGGCCTATGAGCAGTTGTTTCTGCACATTGGTCTACTGGCTGCTTGGTGTTCTGGAATCTAATAACCTGGAGGCCTGATGGAGGGACTCCCCTTTTCTGACATTGGTAAGGGTGCAAGGGCACTTCCCAGCATTCCTCCCTCCTATCATAGCAGGAATATTTTATATTAGATATGTAGGATGCAGCTGACCAAGCACTACTATTCTGGTGATCCAAGTATTTTAAGGTCAGTAATAGCAAAAAAGTAGACACAGTGTTGACTAGCTACATTAAACCCAATGCTCTTCTATTCAGTTTGGGCCTCTGTAGAGAAGTTATTTTTCTTCTGATTTATCAGAAGCAGTAATTTTTAAAAAAAGACTATTATAGCTTAAATTATAATCTAATTATCAACATTAAATCAATAAAATCCAGGTTTATCCCTGTTTTTCACAACTAAGAGGAACACAGACATACAAACCTTGAATTTTCTTCTCACTTCTGCTATCTGTTCTTCCAATTCCTCTGTTTTATATTTGGTTAGGTGGAAAATAGCACCAATATGATAAGCTTCCTTGTATAGATTTTTAAGATACTCATCATTTTTTGCCTTCATTGTCATCAAAGATTGGATTTCAGACTCAAGCTCTGATTTTTTCCTTACACTGGAAAAAAAAAATTAAAAATATTGATATTATTCTAAGAGTATATATTGAGGCAAACACATTTAATAATAGTAAAAAGGTTGTTTCTTTTTTGTTTCTGAAAATACAAAACAACCAGGTAATTAACTAAAACTTGAATACAGAAAATATTTCCCCAAATTCCATTTATTTTTATGCTTCTGTTGGATACCCCTAATTACCAAGCTGTGCTTTATTTCAGAAGGATGATCATATCAGTAAGAAAATCCTGGGATCCCTGATGTTCAGCTTTCAGAGCATTAACTCACTTCTATATCAATTCATCCTTTATAACCCTATACAACAATACTAAGACTAATCAAATATAAGAAAAACCCAGACCATGTAAAAGAGAAAGAAAACTCAACAAAAGAAAACCAGTAACGAAAATAAAACTCTCAGGAAGAAACCCAATAGCTAAGGGGTGAAGAGTTAATAGAGGAAAAATATAAGACATTAATATCAGTATAAGATTCTCAAAGACACAGAGAAATACTAGTTTTTAAGAAAAATTAACAATTTATATTTCCTGTCCGGATTGGGTACCATCTCTGTTCCAAATATATACCACTGACACGTAGAATATAAAAAGTAAACATATATAACACAGAATAAAAATGAAACTTGAAAGCAAAGCAGGAGTGGAGGGGAAGAGGCATGAAACTGGTTGAAGTTGTTCCACCTGAGGGGTGACCACGGCAAGGTTTGTAGGAGAGCTTTGCCTGAACTGCACTTGTTCGGGGAAGAATAGATTCAATTCACGGAAGCTATAGGTTTACAAAAGACAGGAGCTGGGGCACTGGGAAGAAAATACCCCAAATCAAGAACTCAACCAACGAGTAAAGAATAAATCAAAAGGGAAATTTTAAAAAATTACCTTGAAACAAATGAAAATGGAAACACAACATAACCAAACATGTAATACAGCAAAAGCACTTCTAAGAGGAAAGTTAATAATGATAAATGCCTACATTAAAAAAAAAAATCTCAAATAAACCACCTCACTTTACATCTTGAAGAACTTGCAAATAAAAACCAAACAAGAACAACCTAAGCCTAAAGTTAGGAAAAGACAAGAAATAACATCCAGAGAAAAAACAAGTAAAAAACCCAAAACAATAGAAAACATAAACAACAGAAAGAGGTGTTATTTTTTTTTTAAAGTAACACTGACACATCTTCAGCTAGAGTAACTAAAAAAAAAAAAAAAGAGAGCAGACTCAAATAAATAAAATCAGAAATAAAAGGGGCCACATTACCTTGATACCATAGAAATAAAAAGAAATAAAGAGGCTACTATGAATGCACCTCAATATAATAAAGGCCATATATGACAAGCCCACAGTTAACATCATACTCAATGGTGAAAAACTGAAGGCGCTTCATTTAAGATCAGGAACAAGACAAGGGTGTCCGTTCTTACCACTTCTACTCAACAAAGTACCGGAAATCTTAGCCAGCGTATTTAGTTAAGAAAAAGAAGTAAAATGTAACCAAATCAGGAGGAAATAATTAAAATTTCCTGTTTGCAGATAACATGATGTTTCATACAGAAAAACCTAAAAACTCTACCCCAAAACTGTTAGACCTAATAAGTGAATTTTGTAAAGTTGTAGGATACAAAAATCAATACACAAAAATCTGTTGCATTTCTATACATTTACTATCTGAAGAAGAAATAAAACAATCCCATTTACAGTATCAAAAATAAAAAACACTTAGGAATAAATTTAACTAAGGTGGAAAAAGGTCTGTATACTGATAACTATAAGACATTAAGTAAGAAAATTCAGGAAGACAGACAAATAAAAAGATATCCTACATTTATGGATTGGAATAACTAATAATTTTTAAATATGCATATTACCTAATTTGATCTATAGCTTTTAAGTGCAATCTATATTAAAATTCCAATGGCATTTTTTACAGATATAAAAAAAATCTTTACATTTGTATGGAACCATAAAAGAACGCATAGCCAAAACAATCTTGAGAAGAAGAAAAAAACTGGAGGTATCACACTTCCTTATTTCAAACTATATGACACAGCTATAGTAATCAAAACAGTATGGTATTGACATAAAAACAAACAATTAAACAAATGAAATAGAATCAAGAGCCCAGAAATAAGCCCAAGTATACATGGTCAACTAATCTTTGACAAGGGTAGCAACAACATACAATGGGGAAAGGATCTTCTCTTCAGCAAATATTGTTGGGAAAATGGATAGCCACATGCAAAAGAATAAAAGCAGGATCCTATCTTATACCACGCACAAAAATTAACTTGATATGAAATAAAGACTTATATGCAAGAACTAAAACTGTAAAACTCATAAAATAGGAAAAAAATCTCCTTGACGCTGGTCTCGACAATTATTTTTTGCATATGCCACCGAAAGCACAAAAACAAATGTAAAAATCAACAAGTTGAACTATATCAAATTAAAAAGCAAAAAAACAATCAATAAATTGAACAGGAAACCTACAACATGCAAAAAAAACCCTGCAAAACACTTACATAATAAGGGTTCATATCCAAAATATAGAAGTCAATAGGTAAAAAACCAAATAACCCAAGTAAAGAAATGGTCAAAGGACCTAAACAGACCCTTTTCCAAAGACATAAAAGTTGCCAAAAGGTACATGAAAAGGTGCTCAACATCACTAATTAGCAAGAAAATGCAAATCAAAAACACAATGAGATACCACCTCTCACCAGTTAGGATGGCTTTTATCAAAAAGACAAGAGATAGGTAGCAAATGCTGGCAAGGATGTGAAGAAAGGGGAACACTTATACACTGCTGGTGGGAATGTAAATTAGTACAGCCATCATGAAACACAGTATAGAGATTCCTCAAAAAACTAAAACTAAAACTGCCATGTAATCCAGCAATCCCACTTATAGGTATATATTTGAGGAATAAAATCAGTCTCTTGAAGAGATATCTGCATTCCCACATTCATTGCAGCATTATTTATATTAGCCAAGATATGGAAACGACCTAAGTGTATGCCAGTAGTTGAATGGATAGAGAAAATATTTCTATATCTGTATCTATATCTACACCTATATCTTTATATATATATTATTCAGTCATTAGAAAGAAGGAAATCCTGCCATTTCCAACAAGATGGATGAACCTAGAGGACATGTGCCAAGTGAAATAAGCCAGGCAGAGAAAGACAAATGCTGTATCATCTCACTTATGTGTAGACTCTAAAACAAAAAAGAATCATAGGAACAGAAAGCAGAATGCTGCTTCCCAAGGGCTGAGGTGTAGTGAAAATGGGGGAGACAGTGTTTGTCAAAACTACAAGCTTCCAGTTATAAGATGAATGAGCTCTGAGGATCTAATAATGTACAGAATGGTGACTTATAGTTAATAATACAATGTTACTTACATGAAATTTGTTTAAGCATAATCACCACAAACAGAAAAAAATATAACTATGCAACAAGGTATGGTAATTATTTCACAAAGTATACATATCTCGAAACATCACATTTTATACTTTGAATATATACAATTTTGTCAATTATACCTCAATAAACCTGAAAAAATTTTTAAAGAAAAAAATAAACAGGGGGCTGTATGTAACAAAATTATAGCTGAACAATTTCTAGCACTGAAAACCAACATGGGTCATGAAATTGAAAAGTCCTAATTAGTGCTAAACTGGATACATGATACACAGAGAAACACACACCTCTAGACATGGAATTGTGAAATTTCAGATCTCTGAAATAGGAAGAGAAATTTCTGAAGTCCCTAGAGAGAAAAAACAGATTACCTACCATAAAATGATATCCAAATGCCATCAGACATATGATCAAGCAAATCTAAATGAAAGACGGATGCTTAGAGACCTAATGAACAACATGATGACTATAGTTACTAATATTGTATTAAATACTGGAAATTTAATAAGAGAGTAAATTTCAGGTGATCTCATCACACACAGAAAAAAGGTAGCTATGTGGGGAGATGATATTTTAATTAGCTTGCCTGTAGTAATCATTTCACTATATCAAATCATGATGTACAGCTTAAGTATATACAAAATTTTTTTAAAAACTAAATGAAAGAAAAATATCGCTTCAAATTAATGAGAAAAATTCACTTTAGATCTAGAGTATGATACTTTGATAAGATCCTCGTTTGAATGGGTTGAATAGAAAATGAAATACGAGCTCTGGCCAGCAGGCCTCAGTGGTTAGAGCATCAGCCAGCTCACCAGAGGGTTTCAGTTCGATTACCAGTCAAGGGCACATACCTGGGTTGTAGGCCCAAGCCCTGCACCAGTTCTCTGTCACATCCATCTCTCTTTTCTCAGAAAAAGACCTCACATTCTAAACCTTCACGGCCCAGCAGAGCAGGATCCACCCATGGTGAGATTAACTAGCATAGCTGTGTTTTATTTGAGCCACATCCAGCTGTTATGACCTTGGTTTGGTTCAATGACAGGGCTTTTTAAGTCACAGAAACGAGGTTTAGAAGGTTATTTAAATGAATGCTTATTTTGATCAAATATAGCTAGTTCTCCGTAAGAAAATAAGGAAGAACAAAAAGGTGGGGTATATGAATGTAGTAGTGATAGCAGAATGTCAAATTGTCGAGGTGATGATACTAGCAGGGTAAGTAAGCAGAAAAGAGAGGTGCTGGTTATCAAAATGGGTTCTTAAAATTGACATCAGGAAGTGCCTCCATTCTTGGAAATGAGATGCAGGATAAAACTGTAAGAGAGGGTGGTTGGTGTGAGACTGAAGAACAGATTGATGGGCATATGGAGGTCTAAGAACTGAGAATCCAAATTCTTGCATGCACTGAATACAGGCCAAATCCTGATTTTGACCACCTCTGCAGAGAGGGAGAATAGAAATGGGAAGGGTGATTTATTTGTAATATTTTATTTCCTTAAAAAAATAATAATAAAGTAGCTAACATATTGGTGAGTCGTTAGTTTTTTTAAATTTATT